GAATTTACAAACTTTCTCATCAAATTTGAACGTTTTAAGATAAAGGGCTCTGACGATGATTTTCTGTTATTTTTTTTTTCTTCTTATGTAATTTTTTGATAACTGCATAGGTTCGCTTCAAGTTAATTAAAAATAATTGAACAAATTATTGTTTTTTTTTTCTAAATTTTGGTTGTTACCTACCTGATATGAAGCTCGTAGGAAAAATTTAGTTCCTAACACGTGCGCAAAGTGTCTTTTCCGCACGTAACACTTATCCGAACTCCGCTTCGCGTCGTTCGTATAACTGTGTTTGCGTGCGGAAAAGTAACACTTTGCGCACTTGTTAGGAAAATAACTATATTGCCCCACGTTGGGCGCCAAATAAACAAGGTGATCTCTAAAGTATGTAGTCAATGAAAGTTCACTTAGCTGCAGCAGGAGTACAGTGGTACACCCGAATTTGTGAGGGCCGTCGCTCTTTACCTGTCAAGCCCTCTTCCTTCTTCGCCTTACACCTTCTTGGACTATATTGCTATATTCGACAATTCTTCTGAATGCAAAAACCCAGTTAACAGCAAAATGCACCCGAAGCGACTTTCCAGTAAAGCGCCTCGTTAAAGGTGACAGATTGAGTTTTTAATTAAATTCATATTTGTATTTTTTTCTTAAAATATTCATATTGAAACTTTCGAGCTTCATATTCGTATTTTTAATTCAGAAATCCCACTAAACCTTCTTTACATATGAATGAAGTAACTTGATAATACCAGGTAGTTATGAAACCAAGGTTAAATTATGAAAATCAAGATCAATAATTTAGGAAGAACGTTTTTGTAATGTACATGAAATAACCATAAGTCACACGGGGGTTTTTATAAAACACCAATAATACGCATTTAAAACTTTTTAATTGTGCCAGTGTCTTTAGAATTTATATTCCAAACTAATTTATGTGGCACATGAGTTGAAGTAATGATGTTTGGTTTTTCTATTATTGGTTGCCCTCTAGTTGCGATAAGCAACAAAGGTCTAGAAACCTCGGCAACAGCGCTTTCTGAAAAGGATTAACAACAGTGTTTCATAACCACACTTATTTGGTGAGAATAAATAAGCGGGAAAATGTAATATTAGTGAAAATAAGGGTGAAAAAGCGATTAAAAGGGTCTGAAAGTGATTTGTAGTGTTGCAGAATTTTTAATAATGAAAAATACGAGACTCGTAAGTGTTGCCAATTGATATGTATTTGGAAGTAAACAAAAATTTTCATTAACATTTAGGGCTTTTTAGACAACTTTCGTAAGCTAAATAAAATAGTTTTCGATCCCACTAGTAAGGCTTTATTATCCTAAAACTACCCTGTCATCTGAATAGAAGAATTCACTCAGAATTACCTCGAAAAATATACCTTTGTTCAACATCCATATATTGTTTCACCTTCAAACAAAAAGGCAGAAAACTAGTAAAATCCAATGGGAAACCTATCAAGCACCGAAAAATATTAATCCTCAAGTATAGAGCTTCATATACCCTCCCAAATACCTGAATTAATTACCGAATTTATTCGAAATCTCAGTTACGGTAAAATTTGTACGTAACAACACTAAAGTCTGATACTCCAAAGGATTGACAGCTGGTGAGTCCCTACGTTAGAACGTCGATAGTCACCTGTTTTTGCTATATGCTTCACCCCCTCGCTCCTCATACGAAAACTATCAGATTAAAAACGATGAACAATATGTGTCATTATATTGAACATATATGGTTATAAAATGTTTCCAAAAATATTCCTCCCAAGGATCATTCTTTCTTGCCAAAAACCCATATTTATCACACCCAAGGCAAATGACATTTTTATTTTATGAGGCAAATTATTATTTAAACAATTATTCATAAATTTAAATTATGCATGTTCAATTTTTTTTTACTGGATGTTAAGTATATGCTCTCTTCATTTGCATACAATTTTCTCACTTGAGATAATCGTTAATTATATTCATCATGAGGCGCTCCTTAAAAAAAAATTAGTCTTCCGTTAACCAGGATGTATAAAATTTCAGAAAAGCCATAGTCGAACAAAATTAAAAATTCAATGTCATTTCCTTTTTCTAGTAGATATCTGTAGTAGTTACCAATAAAAATATGTGGATAGACATGCAATTAGTTTAAATGAGGTAGCAAAACTTTGGACTTAAATAATAGATGTGATTTACCGCGCTGGTATCGATTTCTATTGATTAAACTTTAATCTCGACTTATGGCTGGATTATGGTGATTTTCAACGATTTATCGATGTCTATTTTAATTGGCTTTAGCATTTACTTTTACTGCTTTTTATAGGCGATTTAAAAAATAGAATGATGGTTATAATATTGGAGATAACTTAGAATCGAGAGAGAGTCAATTTGATTTTTATAGGAATAGATTTTTTTTATGTGTATATTGTCACGGATTCCGGGTTCCAGTAAGACTCACACCAGAAAAAACTTTTATTGAACAAATTGACTTTGTATAAAACACACTTATCACTTATACAAATAAATATCGAATTAAAGCTACGTCATAGTCGGCGGCTGGTAATAGTTGACCCAATAGAATCAGCCAAGGATCTTGTCCAAGGTCCTTTTGACTCCCAAGTGAGCTCTGGATGTCCCATTGTGAACTTTTAAAACTCGAATAACTTTTGTGCGTTTTGACGATTTTATCATCTACACCTTTCCAGGTTCTAAAATTACCTAAAGAAAAATTAAAGACAAATGAAAGAAAAGAGAGTAATTTTCCCAATTAAAAGATTTAGTTCCAAATCTGACACTTCAATGAAATTGAAATTAAAAATAAACTATCATCTCTTTAAAGAGGTTTTACTAAAACACCGGGCGGCAGATGGACTAGAGGATGAGAAACGGATCGAGAATTCGTTGAGACTTTGCGAATTAACTTTTCGGCGATAACTAGTAGTAAAAACTAGTGGCGAATTGGCGATAACTGAAGTTAACTGGCCTTAACATCTGCTTAAATAAGCGAAAGGAACCACCCTCTGGGTACCACTTTACAAACCCATTGGCTACCCCTTAGTACCGGGCTTGCGAGAATTGACAAAGTCGAAGATCTCCAACGCTCTTAGCTTTCAGCGATGATTCGTTGAGAGTACCCTCTGGTTTCTTGTTGTTTTGCCATTGGTTTTCAAGTTTATTCAACCTTCCCCATTCAAACTGCTCCACCCTGTGATCCAGTTTGATGGCTCTCCAACAAAGTTCGCTAGTTAGATGTGGTCAAATTATTAATTGAATCTTTAATGTTTTCCCTTGTACTTGAAAACCTTTCCCTTTCATAATTACCTATACCCAATGAATTATAGCTAAAAACTGGAATGCGCACACATTGGCCATATCTGCCAAAAAAATGAAGCCATGAAAGACAGATGCCACAAGGGGGAATGTTGTTTTTTTCTGTTGCTCGCTGTCATATGACGTTTTCGAAAGTTTTGTCGTATTTCCCTTCACAGGTTTCATCGATTGGAATACGTGTGGGAAGCAATTTTGGTCATTTAACATAATGAGTGCGACAAAAACAGGTATCCCCTCCGCAGCAGCTGCACTAGGCTTCACGTTCTTCCTTATGTGTTAGCATTCCAGTTTTTGGTTATAGCTCATTGCCTATACCTATGCTTTCTATTCTTATTTCCTAATTCCTAACCTAGTCGAGTAAATAAAATAAAAGTTCCCTAATTTCTAACCTAATTTTCAAGGGTGTGAAATGAACCAAACTATCCTCTATTAATTTAATAATAAAATAATTGAGTAGTCACTCCTATCTAAACCTATCTATATCTTAATTATAACTGAGCATTTGACTATCTTGCAGTTAACATTTCACCCAAGTAATAACCCTTGATAATTATATTGTTATACAATTTGGTATTGTATCTTAAAAATCCAGCTCATGTAATCATTGCTCAGCTCCACACACACACAAGCTTCGAATATAATTCTTTCTAGCAACGGTATCAATTACCTGACATCTGCTTTCGTCATGAAACGTGGGTATTCAGAAGATTATCCTTGACTTTGAATAAATTATTACAACCACATGGGATCTGGATCAAGTAAAACATGAGGAGCAAGTGGAACAACTTCTTGGGCGGTTAGATCTCCATTTTCACACCAAATATAAGATTGGTGCGTGCTTTGGTAGCGCCCAAATCATGACTGAACCGTCATGATATGAGATTCGTTCTGATATGGTGCAGTCAGCATATCTTTCATTTCTACGTGTGTATACCAATGCAGTAGTAAGAATGTTTGGAATGGGCTTTGTGTCAGTCAAATGATGATATAGCGCTAGTAAGGGCAGAAAACCTATTGAATCTCCCGGATCTCTCAGTCTAATCTTGGCCGCAAATATACGTATTGAGGGCTATTCCAAACCTTCCAACTCAATCCAAATAATTGGAGAAAAACACAACAAATGGATTTACAAACTTTGTGGCGGAATTTTGTGCCAGCAAGATTTTTGTTTGTAACAAGGATTATTCAAAGTATAGTATAAACCTGTTAGGGCTTAAACAATAATTACAACAATTCATTAAAAAATTCCTAATGGAGATTATCTTCAAGCAGTAAAAGTTAATGACGTAACCCGGACTCTTTGTTTTACTTTTGTTGCGTTTTAATAGTCCGAAAAAATTGCATAACCATCAAACGCCATGCGGCGGCGCTTTCTTTGAGAAAGTCGTTAATTAGTTTTTATGTGTGAAACGAATTTTTAATCAAAAGCTACTAATTATTGTCCTGAACCAGTCTTAAAGCTTCCCTAAATCAGGTGATGTCCATTATAGACGGCCATCAAGTCGAAAACCAGTGTTCTTATGATGCTGTGGAATTTATTGAATGAAACGTTGGGTCGGTCACGTAAGGGCCTTAAGGAATTTTACCGGTCAACGGTTCTTTAATGTGGTACCTTAAATATTCTTGACTTGAAAAAGAAAACGGTGTTTCTTATTTAGCCAATCAAGAATTGTGTTGTTTTAATAAGGAAAAGTTTATTCTAATTAAATCTATAATATAATATTTGCTAACTAAAAAAATCAAACATCAAACTTCTTCTAGATAGTTTTTTGTTGGTGTTTCTGGCATTGTTGAAATAGGCTTTAGCTAAAACAATAATTTCCAATTTAACTTATATTTTATAAAATCTGCTTACCTCAACTGCCGTTATCTCAGCCACAGTAATTCTCTTCAAAGGTGAAGCATCATCAAGTTCAAATCCATCATTTGTTAAAAAATCTTGACGTTCCTTTTCAACTTCGTCAGCCCAAGACAGAATAGGCGATAAACAAGGTTCATCAGGCTCTAATCGTGGATTGGAAACTTCAACTGATTTCTTCCTCTTTATCAATTTTGCCAGAAAATGTTTGAAAGATTCAAAGCTGCAATTTCTGTTGCTGTTGATTTCCTGTGGCTGTTGTCCCATTGCTACCCTGTAGTTGGGAAACAGGAAGGATGGGAGTTTCATTAGGAGTCTTGAAATTAATTTTCTCAATGCTGGAGGGACCATTTTTCGATTGACAAATAAATGTCATAGTAGTTGTTGCCGTCATTATTACTAGGATACGAGTTTTGAACTTCAATAACTTAAAGGTTGATACACATAGATTTATCCATGTAGGCACAAATGGAATTACAAACCCTCTTGGAAGAAAATACTGAGAGGAAAAGTAGAAAATAAAATAAATCATTATTTTTGTTGAATCACGAAAACCACTGGAATCTCTTTAAAAAAAATTACAATGCGGAAAACAAATCGATACCTAATAAAAACCTAATAAATCTCTGAGGCGCCAATAAGTTTCCCATCATTTTCACAATAATTACCTATTAAGAAAAAGTAAACAAGTAGCAATTTGAAAGACGGCTGAATAGAACAGACGAAAAATTCAGTTTTAAAACGAAACGAAACCTTTTACCAAAGTCTTTTTACGTAACATCTTCGAGACCACAATGTCAAGGTCAGTCGGGGGCTCAGGTGTTTGTTGTAACTCGTGTTTATGAACCGTGGAATGCTTTTGCTTGGAGATCGACGAGTTACGATTTATTGGAGAGGGTTACCTGATGAAATGTAGTCACGTCATGAATATTGGGCAATAGAGTCCTAGAATGTTCATGATTGTTGATATAGGAAAAGCAAAATATGGATTGGAATGGAGAAGCTAAGAAGAGGATTATGTTTGAAAGTGGTCGATGGAAAAAAGAGAGGAGAGTGAGGATTGATTCATGAGTGATAGTTTTTGGTGAATGTTTCTTGTAATGAAATGTCGCAGGAGCAGTTTTTAATCCAAAGAGCATGCGTGTGTAGGGTAGGGGTTCTGTAGCAGTGCAGGTGCAGTAAGTGCAACCTGTCTGTTGGGTTTAATAAAAATAAAACTCAGGTTGGTTTTTGTGCTTTGGCGTAAACCCGAAATATATCGTGCTCGGTCTGATAGGCACAGTCGCACTCGAGTGCTTTATAGCCAATATCATCCTTCACCCTGGTAAATGTGTAGATATATGTATTTGAAAATTTTTATACGGGGTGCAGTCAACACATTAAAATGTCACTACCTATTCATAAACATTTTATCGCCAGCAATAAAACAGACAAATTAAATTGCTACCACATAAACGTATAACCTCCGTAATAAATCAAAACAATAATTTTATAATTTTTCAATAAGCATTCGTGCGACAGTATATCGGCGGTATTACCTACTTCCGTTGTTCGTGTTCTACCGGTGGCAGTGACATTGCCATGAGTGGAAAAATCGAGCCGAAAAGAAGCGAAATTAATTGCCAAGGCCGGCAATCGAACGATTATAAAAATTGTCATACAGCTGCCCATAAAGTTACGGTTTACAGAACAATAATGGGAGGTCAGGCGAGCGTATCTTTATGAACGAAACAAGAACAGACTCTTCTTGACGTGACTTAAAATTATTTTTGTTGTTGTTGGAAATCTTCTAGAATTGGAATGACTGGATCACAATGGTTTTTCGACAGAGTTTTCTCAAGCTTCTGCGTCTTAAAACTATCACTTTTCGATTGGTTATTGGTTCTAGAAGCTTTGGAGTCACATTTCCTTGATACACAATTATTTTCTGTAAATATTTTTCAAAATTTCCACTCGCCCATTGAGTCAAGACGTTGTTATGGCCATTTAATTCAATGTAAGAGATTCTTCTACAATTAATTTCAATAAATTATTGATTTGAAAGGTGAGTTTTTATAGGCAGCATGCTTTATTTCATCAGGTTCCAGGAAACTGTACCCGAGGTATCGTCGTCTGCAATTAACGAGGGCGTAACATTCGCAGACTATTATATGCTTGGTACCTTCATCTACTTCGCTGCAGTAGTTCGCTGCTGACTCCTATATGGGGGTGCACACACAGTATTATAAATACCATTGTGCATCTAATAATGTTAGCAGTATTAGGAAATTGTATTAAGATTGATATAACTATGTGTAGGTATTGCATTAAATTTTTAAGTAAATTAAATTTGAATATTTTTATCTCAAGTACATAATATGTCTACGATTTGTATATCATAGAATTATAATTATATTGTAACTATTGCTATTGCTAATAAATAAATAAATAAATAAAATAAATAAATAAATATATTTGACGATACCAGATGGAACAAGTGTCAATCCATAAAGAGTGAGCCCTTTCAGGTCCACGTTTCTTCGCTTTGTAAATGGTACTACTTCGGTCTTGTCCGGATTTATCGAAAGCCCGTGATTTTTACACCATCTTTCTACCATATTGAAAACTCTTTGCATGAGCCCTTTAATGGTGCTGGTTGTATTATTTATTTATTATAATTAATTTTAACCAAAGTTTTCAATTACAGTAATTAAATCCTACCAGCCACAATAATGACAAGATCGTCTGCGTAGTCTTGAGTGTTCATACCCTATACCTTCCTCGTTCAGAATGCGGAATAGCCTATCCAGTACCAGGCACCACAGCAGAGGCGATAGTATATCCCGCTGCGGTTTCTACAGCATTTTTTATAGAGTCGAATGAGGTGTTAAATGCCCTTTCGATGTCTAGAAATACACCCAGAGCCATCTCTTTATGAGACATTCCTCGCTCCAGCCTTGCCACAAGACTGTGGAGAGTCGTCTCAGTTGACATGGCAGTCCTGTAGGCATGTTGATTAGGGTGCAAGGGCATTGTTTTTAATGCCTTTTCCCTGATGAATGTGTCCACCAGTTTCTCCAGCGTTTTTAGAAGAAATGAGGATAGACTGATGGGTCTGTAATCCTTAGCCGATTCGTAGTTATAGCGTTCTGGTTTGGGGATAAATACCACTTGGACCTTACGTCAGGAATGTGGTCCTGGACCATATGCGAGGCAGGCCCTGAAGAGGCGTATTAGGTGCGGAGTCAGTAATTCCAGCCCCTTTTGTAAAAGAACCGGAAATATTTCATCTGGTCCCGCACTCTTGAAAGTTCTAAATGAGTAGATGGCCCATCTTACGGAGTTTTCTAAAACCACACTCGCAGCTATCTTACAGTCAACTGGCCTTGCTCCAGCTTGTGGAACGTACATTGGTGGCTAATTAGTTTGCAGGATTTCAGAGCCCGGAAAGTGTGAGACTGCTTGTGGCTGTCCCCTGTCCCAGTCAGCAAGTGATTTAGACCGTATGGCCCTGTTAAAGCGCCTGCGGGTTTCTTTACGAGCCTTGTCGAGGTCGAAGTTCTATCAAGAGGTTTTCTTCGGCTGTTTCCTCCACTTGCCTTGCGCTGCGGCAAAGCGTATAAAACTCTTCTAGTTTAGTTCCTGGGATCTCAATGTATTGTCCCAGGTCGTGTTCCAGGGGTTCCTGAACTTACTGGGCCCAGCCTTGTGATAAAGGTCCAAGCTGAATAGGATGTGTGTGTGTGTGATCCGATAGGAACGGTTTGTCTTATCATCGGCGCCATGGAGAGTGAGCCCAATGTCAAGTCTATCATCTCTTGTCTACGCGAAGTGACAAAGGTCGGTGCGCGTCCAGGGTTCAGGATTTCTAAATCCGTGGTGTGAAGGTACCCCAGAAGACTGAGCCCTCTCCGTTTTATGTTGGTGCTGCCCCACACCATATGGTGTGCATTGGCATCGCATCCGACAATCAACGGAAGGCTCAGTGAGTTACAGTACTCTACCAAATCGATGAACTCCCGTGTTGGGGGATCATTTGTTGAGTCATAGGGCAGATAAACCGAGCAAACTACTATCGATCTGCTCTGTTCCAGTCTGTCCTCGAGGCTAGAGTAGAAGTTACCACTTAAAGTGTCGACATTGATTCTTGGGTTCAGTTGGATCTCCCTTTATAGAAAAGAGATCTTTCCACTTTGCCTAATCCTCTTACGCGTTCCAAAGAATTTTCTCTGGAACTCGTTGAATAGATATACCCTAAGGATATACCCCAACAGTAACAGTTTGGTGTGCAATCTCTATTGAGACAAAATACAGATCATTTTCATTAATGAACCAACGATAACAGAAACTGAATACACTGATATGTTTTTTTCTCCACAATTCGGACAGAAGCGTATGCTGGATATCTATTTTCAGCAGAATGGTGCCCTCATCTCATTATTATTTAATAGTAAGGGAATCACTAGATATGACATCTGGAGAATGACAGATAAGGAGAGCTGGTCCTATAGGATGGACACCTTACTCTCCTGACTTGAGAGTTCCAAACTTTTTTTTTCTGGGATTATGTCAAGGAAAGATGCTGTAATCCTTTGCTCAAATAGCCTGGAAGATCTTAAACGGAACATTTGTTATGTCGTTGTAGTGATTCCCCAGGAAATGTTTCACAATTCATTCAACCATTTATTGATCCATAAATGCCTGGAACAGAAAGTATGCCTTGTATGCTCAATTTTCTTGTAGGAGAACATAACTTTACTACTTGTACAAATGAAATCGTACAATAATCCTCTGGTTTTCCCTATTGCAGCATTTTCAAGATTCAGTTGGTTAATGGGTTGAGAGCTTTTGTAAATCGGAGTAGAACAATCAGAGCAATTCTAGTTTATGGATGAACAAACTTTATTTGCAATAAGTATCTTGCTCGTGAGGCATTCTTGTACCTCAAGTGAAGATCCTCAACATCAGATGAGAAGAAACTCAATGTAAGTTACACTTTGATAGGTACCTCATGTGATAGTTTCAAAAGAAGGTACCAACAAACTTATTGCCAAAATGAAATTATTGTATTGACGTCAGGACTATACAATTTATAAAATCATCAGTCATTATCAAAAAAAATTAACTATACGCGATATGAACAATTTATTTCAAAACACCATTAGAACTATTTACTATCAAGTTTAATGATATGCAAGACATTTAAATTTATTTTGGAGTCATTGGTGGACATTGTATGTCTTGAACTTAAAGATCCACCAACAACAATTTTCTTAATTGGGCACACTTCTATTCTATGCCAGTTATGGTTATTAAACCCAAAAAAATCTTGGGCCAATTTCATATTTTTCAAATATGTACAGTACTTATGTATAGGTACAAGGATATTATATTATCAATACAATAACACCCCAGTAATGGGAAAAGTACTTTGAAGAATTACTGACAGAATAACGGGCAGAGTTTAAAGAAGAAAAGGAACAGACATGAAACATGAAAACTGCAGGATCACCAATAAGAATTATGCAAGAAGAAGTTAAAAAATACTGGGGAAATATATGGAGAACTGATAAAGTATATGGGACCAATAAACTCTACAAACATTTAACAAAACTATTTCAAACATGCATTACCAGAAGAGTGGAAAATAAGCTATTTGTCAACGATATATAGGAAAGGAGACAGAAACAAATGCGAGAACCACCAAGGAATTGCAGTAACAAATACACTGAGCAGAGTGTATGGAAAACTTATAAAAGACAAAAATAGAGAACAAGTATAAAGATATTGAAGCAGAAGAACAGGCCGGTTTTAGAGCAGGAAGATCAACTGTAGACCACTTATTTGGTTTGATCCAGGAGGTAATGGAAAAGAAACTAGCGTATAACCAAGAATTCTATTTAGTCTTTGTAGATCTAGAGAAAGCATATGACAACGTTCCGCTGAAAACGCTTTGGAAAGCACTGGAAAAAACCAATATCAACTTAGAACTAATGAAGGCACTAAAAACGCTCTATAGTAATGCAAAGACCAAGATTAAACAGGGTAACGTGATCAGTAAAGACTTTATAGCAAGGGAATACCGCTCAATGATTACAATCTATATACTTTTTGTGCTACCCATTCTGTAAGTTGACTTTTTTGACCTACGTCCATGAACTGTAAGTGTCACTTACAGTCCGGGTCAAAAAAGTTACTTTTTTGACCGGGCCAAAGAAGTTACTTTTTTGACCGGGTCAAAAAAGTGTTGATATGAAAGGTGAAAATTGCTTGGTTCATATCTCTGTCAAAATATTGTCACAAAAACACTCGACTTCTTAAATAAAAAACCCAAAACAAATTAAGGATACAATTTTATTGAAACAAATAGAAAATACCTAGACGTCAAAAAGTTGAAATTAGCATAAACAGATACGAAATAATATAAAAATGAGATACTTCATAGTTATTCATATCAATGGCTTTTCATGATGTGATTCTTTCCTTAGCGTTCAGGATCAGTTTGGGATCTTCTTCGCGAACAAAGCAAATAGGTGCACCATCAAATTCATGATATTTATTATTTTGAATGTACGGTAGCACAAAAAATATCATATGCACCTCGACTTGTAGCGTGTACTTTTTTGGCCTCAAATGCTTGCAAACCTCGGCCCTACGGGCCTCGGCTTGGAAACTGCATCCTCGGCCAAAAAGGTAACACTTACAAGCCTTGGTACATAAATAACTATTAAGCTTTACAGATGATCAGGTATTAATTGCACAGAACTATGATGACCTAGAGAACATGACACGAAAATTCATAGAGCAAAACGAGAAATGGGGTTTGGAAGTGAATCTAACTAAAACAGGAGGTGAACAACGAACTCTAAATGTTGAATAACGGATAAGAAATAAAACAATGTACTGAATACAAATATTTGGGCATGAAAATTTTACATGAGGGAACCCTAGACGAAGCGAATAAAGATCGGAATATACAAAGACGCAAGGCAATATCCCTAATAACCCAATCTAACAAAACTGGAATATACAACATCATAGTCAAAAGCATAGTCACATATAGTTCAAAAGTCTGGCCACTAAAAAACGGAACCGTAAAAATGCTGGAAGCAACTGAAATGGACTTTTGGAGGAGAGCGGCAGGCAGGTCAAAAATGGAAAGGATAACAAATCTGAGAATTAGGGAGATTATGTACGTAAAAGACACAATAACAATATGAAGGGCAAACACCTGAAGACCAAGAAGAAGCTGGAATAGACGAAGAAATGACGGACAGAGGCTTAGAGGAGGAGGCCTGGATTGACAGAGATGGTTGGAGATCGGGAATCGGAAGACGTAGAATTATAAACCGGATAATTATAAATAAGTAATTATTATGTTTGGTAATACATTTTTGTTTTCTTCTTCTTTGTAAATATTTTTCAATTGGCTTTGAAAACCCTGTTGACAAACATTTTGGTTTTGCTAATAAACATCCACTTTTATCTTATTGTTCCTTGTTCCATATAGACTAAAAATAGGATAGCCCAACCTAGCCTAGTTCTTGCATGCTGATAAAGATAACCCAAAAAAAGTAAAACTATTCCCATTATTGAAAGGCCAAGTCGCGCCTTAAAACTGTGACATTTTTTGTATGTAAATAAATAAATAACTACATAAACTGAAAAAATGGAGAAAACAATAGGAAGATTGCCTTCAACATCCTTATTTTAACTAAACTACCTACAAGCGTTTTTCAGAATAATTTGAAAAATGTGTCCTCTCCTTAGGTATGGTTTGCACAAAGTTGTCAGTTGTTTGTAAAATTCTTGTTGAGTTTCGATCGACCTAAATTGACAATTGTCACGTTTGTCTGGAGATTCCCATTTCGGTTTGTTATTGTTGAGTCAAGAACATTCTGGTTATTGGAACATATTTTGTGTTTGCTTATAACATCAATTCCAATCTTATCTAATCTTAATAATTAAGGGTGTGGTTTGTAAGAATTTCTTTTACCTTGATTTGGGGTTTTGTGTGCCTTAATCTAGGTCCATAACCTAAGCGCCCTAACCATTACAATCTACTGGCTCTACTGATGGACTTCCATTCAATAGGGTTCATGTTCCCCTGAGGTTGTGCAAAATCCTCCAAGTTCATTAGTAATTCCTTTTCGGAAAACTTGTACCTTGTAACCTGTAATTTAAAATAATAAAAATCCCAATAAATTCAGAACCTTTAAAATATCCGTGAGAATTTTTTACGTCCAAGGCCATAAAAAAAAAAAACGCAAATCGCGTGAAAAAGATTTATATAATAATTTCTAATTATTAAACATAAGGTATCAGTTAATCCACGATTAATTGTTTTTTGTGTTATTGAGTTACGGATTCTGCGGTAGACCGCCTTGCGGTTTTTTGTTTGTAATGTTGGTATACGAATATAGGGAAATTTAATCTTTATAAAGAAGAATTTTAAATATGGCTCTTAAGGCCATAATAATACTGCTTTCAATTTTCATATGGAAAAGAGTCAATTTAGAGTAGGAGTCGTATTAAAATTCATTGTTAGTTGGGACTATCAAACATTATATATGCATGGAAACATGAAAAACCTTGAACAAAATTAAAAACACAACAAAACACTTCCGTTCTTTGCATGCGTATAATTTACACATAATTGGATTGTCTATTCAAAAACTATTAATTGTTTTCTGGTACTTATTTTAACCAGCCAGCAGTCGGGTACTAGAATGAATGGATTTTTAATCTCTAATTAATTAGAACGAGAAAAGTTTTGCAATTGTGTGTCTAAATAATACAGAGTGCTCAAAACATATTCGATAAATGATTTCTTCTTTGAGATATTTTATTCCGAGATTCTCTTATGTGGCTAACCTTATAGAACATTTTGCACTGAATAAATTCCACGGCCAAACCAACAATAAAAATGTCTCAAAAGATATTTTTCCGCATTATTATGTCTAAGACAATGAAGATAAACTTGACCTGATGACTTTTGGATTAGCCATGGATGTTTTGCCATTTTTATTAGTCTTATTAATTCATGTTTTATTTGAAATATTTTTCCATTTGTTTCATTATTGTTACTTTACTTTTAATTATAATTAAACTTGTTTTATATTTTTCCACCTCAACCTGTAATGTAGTTTTTTTTTTCAGCCAAATTAATTATTAAATCCTTGACAAAATAAATAAATTTCCAGCTACATAATAAAATAAACAATAACAAGGGCTCCAGAATGACAATGAACATTTCATTATTTCAAGATGTTTGAAAATATTTATCTTGACAATGCTAATGTATGTCTGATTAGGTATATGCACTGTTTAAATGTTATAAATAATACCAAAAACCTTTTGCTTATGATAGTTTTGTTTGTTCTTGTTCTTAAAGTGACAAACATTGGCCTATATTTCATTTTGAGGGTTTTAATGAATGGAGGTCAAATAATCTATCTTGTTGGTCCAGCATATTCAGGAGTGAGCTTCTTACTTTGACCATCTGCATTCTTGTTCATTAAAATTAACACAAGATCGCCAGTTTTATAATATTTTGTAGGTTTTTTCTTCTTATCAAACCTTTTTTTCTGCTTGATTTGATCCCGTCTGATTATTTGTGTAGCTTCGTTTCTGAGAGCCTCAATATCCATATCTATTGATGGTAAGTCAGCACACAATCAGTTTATCTTCTTGGTGTATAACCCATGAGAAGTTGGTTGGGTGTTTTTCCAGTGATTTGGTGGACTGTATTGTTTAATGAATATTCTAATTTGTCAATACATTGATCCCAGTTATCTTCGGAGTTGGTTGTCGTTGCAAAAGCTGCGAACACAGTAGGTACGATTGAGTCTTTGGACTTTCCCATTCGCTCTAGGCGTAGCCATAGCATTGGGAACCAAATGTATGTTGTACTTAGAGCAAAATTGTTTGAAGGATTTCGAAGTGGAAGCTGAACCTCTGTCTGAAATAATGCGATTAGGAACTCCGTAGGTGTCAAACTTCTTTTCCAAAAAGTAAATGACTGGTTTGTTCTTCGTGGATTTCACAGCTAAACACTGTATACTTGGTAGATGCATCAATAGTCACAATTAGGCGCAGATTACCTCGCAGTGTCTTGTGGAATGGCCCCAAATGGTCGATTTGAATAGTGTGGAAAGGTATATGTATAAGCATGGAACACAAGTAACAATGTATTTTTCAACGTATTCTCTCATAAGTGGGAACCAATATTTTCCGCAAAGCGTCTTTAGGGTTTTCTCGACTGCATAATGCCCTACTTCAATACACTACTTATCTCCTGAACCCACGTGGTACAACCCATTGCGGTATCCATTCCTCAAAGCATAGTTTTTTTTTTAAAACTTGCCGTTCAAGGTTAGTTTCTGGTGGTTTCTTCAGGGCATCATGGATTCGACGAATCTTTGCGTCTGACAGTTGAGCAGATAGAATCCAATCTGCCTCTTCAATTCTAAAAATGAAGTCTCCTTCAGGTGGTTGTTCAGAGTTACTCGAATTTCGACTTAGAGCATAGACGTATTGTATCCGTTTTCCAGAACGATATTCCACAGTGAAAGTATACTCTTGCAACAGCATATGAGAACCAAATGTATGTTGTACTTAGAGCAAAATTGTTTGAAGGACTTTGAAGTAAAACCTGAATATCTGTCTGAAATTATGCGATTAGGAACTCCGTAGCTGTCAAAATTTTTTTCCAAAAATTGAATGACATTGCTCTTCGTGGATTTCACAGCTTTTAGCATTGCCTTCAAGTAAATGCGTCAATAGTCACAATCAAGTGCAGATTATCTCGCGGTGTCTTCTGGAATGTCCCCGAATGGTCGATGTGAATAACGTGGGAAGGTATTGGCTCTTTGGCTATAGAATGGAGATAGCCTTCACGTCATCCCGAGGGAATTTTGCTATACAAGCATGGAACGCAAGTGGCAATGTATTTTTCAACGTATTCTCTCATACGTTGGAACCAATATTTTCCGCAAAGCGCCTTTAGGGTTTTCTCGACTGCAAAATGCCCTACTTCATCATGAGACCAATGCACCACTTGTCTCCTGAACCCATGTGGTACAACTCATTGTATACCTATTGGAGTAATGCGGTATACACGTCCATTCCTAAAAGCATAGTTTTTTTAAAACTTCCCGATCATGGTCAAATTCTGGTGGTTTCTTCAGGGCATCATGGATTAGACGAATCTTTGCGTCTGACACTTGAGCAGATAGGATCCAATCTGTCTCTTCAATTTTTCTAAAAATGAAGTCTTCTTCAGGTGGTTGTTCAGAGTGACTTGGATTTCGACTTAGAGGATCGACGTGTTCCATCCGTTTCCAGGACAATATTCCACAGTAACTGCAACTGCAGCTACCAGCGCGCGACTCTAGGTATAAGGTCTCTTTTGCTGCTTGCCATTTTCAGTGCATTGCAATCTGTAACTATTTTAAAATCCAGCCCTAACAAATAAACTCTGAACTTTAATAATGTTTCTACAACTGCCAAGGTCTCCAGTTCGTAGAAATGGTATTTCTTTTCTGCCTAGTTGGTATGTCGGTTGTAATACGTCACTAGTCTAAGTTGGGAATAATGTTTTTGCAGTAATATTCCGGCTATACCATCCTGGCTAGCATCTGTACCTACTTCGGTCTCCATCTTTGGGTCATAAATTATAAGGATGACTCGACCCATTTCCATTCGATGTTTTCCGCGTAAGTGATGTTAGAAGTCTAACCAGAGTAGCATAATCTTGAATAAATTTTCGGAAATATCCAGTTAATCTTAAAAATTGACGCACTAAGAAATTGTCGTACAACCCGTAGAGCATCGATTTTTGCTGCACCAGGTCGCACACCTTGTTTATCTATTTCAAAGCCTAAGTAAGTCATGGACATGGCGAGGAAGACACATTTCTTAATGTTTAATGTTAGGTTCTCACTTCCAAAAACATCTAGTATTTTCCGAATGCTTTCTAAATTTTCTTTAGGGATTGTACCGGGTAAAATGACATCATTCAAATAAACTGCAGCAATATTGCGATATGGAGGATCTTGTTCATTATGCGTTGGAAGACTGCTGGAGCATTGCATAAACCAAATGGCATCCGATTGTATTCATATTGTTCCTCTGGTGTTATAAATGATGTTAAATGTTTACTGCGTTCAGCAATAGGTATCTGGTGGTATCCAGAACTTAGGTCGAAGGTAGTGAAAATGGAACATCTTTTCAACTTATGTATTTGATCATCGATTCGAGGTAGGGGGAATCTATTCTTGATTGATAATCAATGCACATTCGGTCTTTTCCGTCTTTCTTCTTAACAAGTGGCACGGGAGAAGCGTATGATGAATTAGATTCCTGAACTATTCCTGCGCCTAAAAGTTCAAATATAGTTGCCCTTGCGTTTTCCTTTTCTGATTCAGCCATTCGGTAAAGACTGTAGGTGAAAGGTTTGTCTTCTAAAAGTTTTATTTCCAATTCTGCAGATCTAGCGTCATTAGTTTCTGTCGTAGGATTGGATCAGTAATACCAGTGGTAATATCTTCTTTTAATAATGGAAGTTGGCTAATGTTCACTCTTAGAACTTGCTCAGAGGTATTGCTAATATTTAATTCACAAGGAACGGCTCTTATGAATGGATGTTTACTCCCCAATGTGAGATGCCTTCCAGGTAAATTATTGAACTAACTGCTGTTTGGTTATTGGCTAGATTGATTAATATTCTAGGAATAGCGTATTCGGCTCCAAGTTGAGATCTGAAGCTTGCTTCAACGTAGAGGTTACCTTGAAATTGAATTTTACTGATGACTTTCAAATTTCCAACATGATTTGATGGAAGTACGATTGGTTCTGGTAGCCATAGTTCAACTTTTTTGAAAGTTTTAGATTGCTGAAGTTCACTGAATCTCAAGGTATCGCTATCCTTGAATATCATGATTCTTGTCTGTTCAGTGAATGTATGGTCAATCAATAGAAGAACTTCTTGAAAGTGGTCTGAAACTACAAGACACTCCACAGTTCTTTGTACATCTTCGACTTCTAATGTCAATATAATTTTCCCCAATAAAAGCCTGAATTCTTTGGATGCCATAGCCCTTTAGGCTGCGATCACAGCTGGAAATTGAAATATTAAGTTGTTCGTAAGTATCAGTATTTCGTAAAATGTCCTGTTTTGTGTCATCTGCGGCAAATCGTAGGGGATGCCTTGGAAACTCGTTACTGCCTTTTGTCTTGTTCTCTGTCCATAATATACGG